TTATATGAGAGTCAAGACGAAGCCACTTTTAAGTAACAGAAAGTACAGTCGATTAAGAAAGGTAGGTGGTGGCAGAAATATAGCCCCATTAACATCTCTAGTGTTCTTCACCTTCTAACATGGTTTGGTTGGTGCTTCTTCTGATTGCATTTTGGTTTTATATATATATTAGCACAAGAAGCCATGCACTTTCCTTGTCAGATCTTGGAGGTTTTTTTAGGCTGTTGCTGTTGGCTTTAGCACTCGGTTTTTTTTAGGGGTGTTAGTCAGTGTAATCCAAGTATTGTATTTTTTAAAAAATTAATATGGATATTTAAACTAATTAATTTATATGTATTTTAATTAATTTAACGAATTATAAAATTAATGATCATGTAAGTTTTTAGTAATTTTAAAATTTATAAAATTCAAAATAGTGATTTATAGAGGGTAAATTTGAGGCCTAACCGTTAAACTTTACTTCTTAAGATTAATTTTTGTATAATTTAATTTAATATAATAATATTAAAAATAAATAAACTTTATTTTAATACACTAAAAAAACATTTTAAAAAATAATCTTCCCATTCTGTTCTAGCAGACAAGCATGATTCAGATATTTCGAGCTGAATCTCGTACAACGGCAACCTTTGACAGATGATGGCATGCGAGAGTTGCCGGGACAAAATATCCGTTGCTTGCCTGGTTATAAGTGGCCGTTGCAGCAGAAATCCGAGGCAAGTTGTGTCCTTGAGGAGCTGGGTTAACTTCTACAGAATAAGTTTTTTATTTTTCTCATAAAATACCCAATTCATTCTTTATTGGCAGACAGACACCCGAGCCCATTGAGAGTGGAATTCCCGGGTACGAGATGTGAGCGGTTTATGAGCCCACTTTGGGCTTTGGGCTTTGGTATTATGGATCCCTCTCCCGTCGATAAACGATGAAAATCTACGTAACTGTAATTTTCTCTCTCGCGAGGATACTCGAGATAAATATATATTGTTTTAAAGTATCAATATTAAAAATAAATTTTTTATTTTAATATATTTTAAACAAAAAAATATTTTAAAAATTAATATTGTCAAATCTCTCTTAAATTTTAAATCGTTTTGCTCATTAATTAATATTTAAAAATAATCAATTTCCCCTGAACACTAAAATCTTGCTTTTATTTTTTTATATTAATTTAAACCTCCACTTATCTATTCTTTATTTTTAAATTAATTGCGAGAATTAAATGAAAAAAAACTTAGAAAACTAAAAATGTAAATTGAAATACATCTTATTTTTTTAAAAAAAATTATGGAGATAATTTTGTTGTTTTTTATTTGTCGTGCATGTATCTTTTAGATTTATGGATATCCTCGTATAACTTTTCAAGTATAGTTTTTATTTTTTCTGTTCAAAAGTCAAATTCATCTAAGATTTAAAAAATAAATCAATAAATTAAGAGTTTGGATCAATTCATGCACATGTGACTTGACTTGACTTTCACATGTAATAATGGACTAGAAGCTTAGAGCAATGAAAACAAATTGAAGTAAAGGTTCAATAAAACCAAATTACTTGTAAATGTTATACATGAATGAAAAGATTCATTGATCAAAGGACGCTGCAAAGGGAAGATTCGTTTATGGATCAAAGACAGTGGCACACCAGGCAACTCGGAGTAGAATCGACAAGAAACTCTTCTTTTGAAGGTTAGTCTTTGCCCGTTGAAACTCTGAATCCCAGCTAGCCAATTTCTTGCTTTCGTAAAGTATATCCAAGACAGCAAACCAAGCAATAAAACTGTATCTGGACAGGAGCATGAAACCCAATTAAGAAAGTACCAATCACCTCGAGGACCCCTATTTCGGATACATTCTTGGACGAAAACCACTCATTGGGGTTAGCTTCCAGGTTACTTATCATCAGTGCTGGAATTAGGAAATAGAATGCTACACAGAGCACTTTGAATGTCAATCATTGCTTTTGTTGCAGCAGCAGGCTAACACCAATCATTTTCCTGAATAACAAGGCTCCTGCAAAATTGGAAGAGAAGCTGCTAGCCTTTCTGCTACATTCATTAATGGATTGAAATCTACAGTCCCCCCTGCCGCTGGGCGCCACAGAATAAGCAGGTGTCAAGGGCAAATGGGAATCAAAGTTGTGTCTTCAATTTCCCACTTGGGAGTCTACGTAACGATCTAGAAGAATTTTAAGAAACCAAGTCAACACAAGACAAGGTTGTTCATTTCAGAAAAACAAATTAGCTACTGCAGGTTCTGTTTCCATAATAGTTGCAGAGATAGACATGAACAAGAAGGCCACCTACACCATCCGTTTAACGTCACAAAAAGCAGGACCACCTCCCATACATTGCCCTACCAGCTCATTCTTATCCGCACTCCAGCTAAAGAAAATATATTTCCTAGTTGCAATGAAATTTAAATTCTTCTTTCTGACCCACAATCATGCAAATAATTAAATCCTGCTACTCTTGCTTTTGGAAGCTGAAACATGAATGGAACACGGAATCTGAGAGGTGAAATGTGAGTTCCACGGGATACAAAACTCTTCGGCGTGGTACAAAATCCTGTTAATGCCTAATGACTTTCAGTGGTGCAAACAAAGGACTGCCTTGCATTTTTCTTCCTCTCCCTCATCATAAAAGGAGGAAACATACTTCTGAGCCAGAGAGATCTGCAGGCCCGGAATCAGAGTTCTGAAGCCACATTCTGATGGAATACACTTTACAGGTCTGTTATGGTCACAGTTTGAACTTCGCATCATCCAAAACAAGTCCACCAGTAGCAAGCATAAAGTCTATCAATGTAGACCTCAGCCTTGCCTGGTGTGAGAACATCTTTCTAGACAACTATAAGACACAGGGAAAACAAGGTCTTTTTTTCTTCCTAGCCAACTGGAAACAAACTGATGAAACGAGAAAGGAGGAGGCCTAACTTAGAAAATCAAGAAATCACATTATCACAAACAGTGAAAATCATCAAAGAGAACAGGGGATTCTTCAAAACCTCAAACTTCAACCACATAGATTGACATGACAGCTCATGGATGGATCAAACCATTTGTTAAAACGATGAAAAAGGAACTGAGAAAACCCAAAGACACAGACAATTATTTTAATCAATGGAAGTTTCAATCTTCCAACATTTACACATTGTTACCAGGGCAAAACTAACACCTTTTATGATGAACAGGGCTGATCAAGAAAAAAAATCTCACAAACTGGGTCAACAACTTGCGCCAAAAAATACACTCTTTAAAGAAACAGAAGCAGTGCATGAAAGCTTTACACCAGGATGAAAGACTGGTGAAAGACTGGTACAGTGCTGTTGATATGCATTATTTCTTGTCAACTAAACTCACCTTGATCCTAATATTCAACAAAACTATTTCTTTCAGTGCTGAGCCTTTGCCTTTGCTTCAGCTTTCTTTTGTGACTTTGCCTTCGCCTGCATTTGAAAATAAAAGGCCACTACATAAGCATTTATAAATTAAATCAATCATGAGCCAAAATCAGTGTGGGGTGAACTGCTGATAAACAAGAAATTGGCAAAGATTAAATGCCATTGTGAAAGAGTTACTCAATACACAGCAACAAACAATTATAAAATGAAGACTCGCAGAAGCATTTCCTGATAGAATCAGATTCTAGCCTTTAAAATATTACTATAAGTTTTCCTTGGTGAAAGAATGAAAGAATGACAGCAAGTTGTAACGCAAGGATATCACCTCAACCAACAGAAACATTGCTACAACTATATGTGAAGAGAATTGCAACACTGAGTAAACACTTAGGCAAAACAAACAAGGGGTTCAAACACATAAGAAGAAAAGGATCGGATTTGATCTTTCATTCAAAATCCAACATAATGTTTCCTCGCTATCTTTTAGAATCTCTATTCTTACGAGTTCAAAAATCACCAATGAATTCCCTTAGCTTATTTAATAACACTGCAAGTTGAATAGGGTACGATCCGTAATCAGGACAGTTAAATTTGTGGGACCCGCTTAAAACCCCACCAAGCTCTCAAAACTAACTTGAACGCATAGCAATTAGAACCCTGAATCCATTGGTGAAATGAGCTCATTTTTAGTAATACAAAACTACCTCACCTATCTAATTAACACATTTCCCCTCAAATTCAGAAGCTAAATGTTACTCCCCCATTGTTAAATTACTCCTAATTCAAGAAAAGCAATCATCTTGGTAAATAAAAGGGGCCCTTCTTGAGCATCAAAATGTAAACTTTCTTCATAAAAAACAGGGTAAATGTACCTGGAGATACTTAAGCTTCACACTCCCGTAAACGAGACCCAAAGAGAAAGCAGAAACACGAGCCACCTAACAAACCCCAAAGCATATAAATCAAATTTAAGATATTTTATTTCATTTTCTAGGGAAGCGAACAGATAGCGGTTGGTAGGTGAGAAAGTATACCAGAGCGAGAGTGCTAGTGCCAGAGTAAGGTCCAGGAGGCGGCGCCATTGGAGATTCTTCCGGAAACAAGAGATAGCCCGCCTGTAAATTAATCCAAATAACAAGCCCTAGATTTTGATATCTGTTGGGCTCATGTTAGACTTGTGATTGCTTTATAAATAAATGCCTTCAATCCTGTACCCTCGCCTGTACCGGAGCGCACTACCTTTATTAGCGCCAGTCGTTGGATGTACGCTTATTGGAGGGTGGGATTGCTGATAAATGGTTAAAATATTTTGATTTTTTTTAAAGTTGATCTTGTTATATTTTTCGCATTATATCTGGATCGGTCCGCCATATTTTTTTGTTAATAATTTAATAATAAAAAATAAATTTAAGATATCAGGTAAAGTTTTTTTAATAAAAATCTTTATTATGATTAGAAAAACCAATCTGAGAAAGAAGAAAATAATAAATTATCATTCATCAATTTAGATATAAATAATTTTTCAAAATGCTAGGAATATATAATGGCCAAAATTCTATCAGGAAAAAATAATTATTATAGCAAAAACTAGCTACAGCAGAAGAAAAGGAGAATGTATGGGATGTGCTGTTTTTTTTTTCAAAAAAAACAATGTACGTCTCCTAGTCACTGACACCAACAAATTCTCATACGAGTATATACACCAAAGCACCACCACCCATACGCTATCCACGCCTACAGAGCGCCCAAAAGTCAGGTGATCACGAACACCACCATAAACTGGCAAAGCCACCTTCCACGACGCTGCTTGACCCTACTCCGATTGAAGTTCAGCCAAGCATGGCAGCGAACAAGGTCTGTCTGTCTAAAATGCTTCCTTTTGTTTTGAAGATAATATATAACCCACTGGGAGTCCACTACTTTCCTGTGGAATGACTTTCTGCTAACTGAGTAGCTTTTCCTCGAGCTAGATACAAGATTGAAGATTTACAATATTTGCAGTGATGGGATTCATCCCCTTGGTTTCTTGATGGGTTTAATCTTGTGATCATGAAATGTGTGATTTTTACTCTATATTATCTAATGCTCTGTTTGGATAGAAGAATCATGAGGCAATAATGTTTTGCTACACAGCTTCGATTTTTACAGCTAGTACATGAACCATATCATATTACTTGACTTTAGCACCTCATATCTCTTATAGAACTTCTTATTGTGGATGTAATTTGTTGTTTTTTCTTTAATAGTTGGAATGAGATTTTGTCCCTTGTTGTGAATCAAGTTCTCTATGAATTGAATGAATATCAGTAGTAATTTTATTTGTTTCCTGCTTGTTTCCTTTTTTATCATCTACTGGTTTTAGCTAAAAGGCCTAAAGAATAGGTAAGGTCTTTCAATGGCTAATAGAACATCAACGTTGTAGCTTGTTCAAAGAATGTGGTCATCTTGTTCAGCGTGGAACTCCTCTCTGTGAAAGGTGACCGATGTCTCTTCATATTGGACTTTATTGGCACGTGGAATTTTGAATAGCTGGCAAGTTAATTAATTATCACAATATATGCAATAGAAGTTCTTTTTTGATAACAGTTAACTAATACTTGGTGGAAGCTTCACTCTGAAGTTACTGGTAAAATTCTTCTGAAGCAGGTGAATGAAATACTGCTTCTCCTATTAACCTTATAAGTCGAAGGAACAGTCTATTTATTTTTCGATTAAGATTTGTCAAGTGTCATTATCTTTTCCTCGCAGTGTACTCTGAACAACAAAAATTTAGCACCGACTGAAGAATATTCAAAGAATGTGATATAGTTTGGAATCTGGAAGGATTATAAAATGTCAATCATAACTGTGTCATGAGATGTCACAATCCTGCTAACTTGTAAAAATCATCCATTTATTTCCTTTGATCTGTATTATTCACGTCCACTACTTTTTTCCTGATACACGCTTTATGATGTGGCTTTTTCATGTTTGTCATTGGTCTCTTTGATTGTAGGCAGATGCAGAAACCTTTTGAAGAAGCAACATGTGCTTTAAAGATTTGTGATTGGCAATACTATGAACAGTGTTGATGTGGTTGACTTTGTAAGCGTAGATGGTACTGCCATTACACATCCAAAGAGGAGATGGCTACCGAGGGGGGTGATACCCCTGGGTTGGAACATTGATGATGTGCCCTTGGTGGGTTAGATACCAACTACAACTATACATCAGAAAGAGGAGACAGTTGAGAAGATTGTCTCTGCTAGGCAGGTAGGGGTGAATGTTTGAGCGGAGGTCTGTTGTCCCACTGCTGGTAAAGGGATTTAGCATACCACCTTCTTCAAGGGGACCTCGCAGTCCTCTTATTGAGCACATTGATATTGTGATCAATTCAGATCCTTCAACAGCAGATCCTTATTGAGGCAACTTCCCTCCCCAGGTGTCTTACACATCCACTTTTGATGGGACTGGGATTTCTGAGACACATCCACTTTGGATGGAACTGGGATTTCTGAGGTGCCTCCAGGTGGAGATGCGAGGGGCTATTTCCACTGTTTTCTTGTGCTGGAGTGTTATGATTGTTGCCTTCACAGGGTTCATGTAAAGGATGGTGAGTTCTGGAGTGGTGTTCCTGTCCCTGAACCTCGTTAGGTTGTTTTTTTTCCTGACTTACCTGGAGAGGCCCGGGCTATTGGTTGAGTGTAGGGATCTGGGTTTGGGAATTGATTCTCTGGCGAATGGGCTGGGGAGATTTAGGAAGGTGTTGGAGTCCTTTGATCTGGGCAGGAGGATTGATGAGCTCAAGGAGCAGAAGGCTACCATTATAGTGGGGGAATCCGACACTGAGGGAGAGTTGTGGTGGGATGTCAGTAGTATTGACAAGTTGATGTCTCGGAGCCTTGTTTCTTGGTAGGACCTTTGGTAAAACTACTTGTTGGACTATCTATCAGTTTGGGCGACTATTTTTTGCTTTATGGGGTCATATAATGCTCTGTAGTAGTTGATATTTTCTCAATCCAAATCATTCAAGCTCCTGTATCTGTTTCTCAGTATATATACTTCCCTGATGTGGTTTTTTCAACTTCTCACCGGTCCCTTCCATAGGGTCATGGCCAGTCGCCAGATGCACAAACCTTTCGCTGAAACCATGTGCTTAAAAGATAATTGAGACCAGAGAACGTAATCATGAGAACTGGTTGATGTTTGGCTTTAGCTTGGAGTGTCATCCAATCACAAACTTTGAACCTTTGAGCCACTGTTTTGCGACAAAAGAGCGTGCACTTTTGACAGATCTTTCAGTTTTACTGCTTTTTTGCCATTTCAAGGAATTGGATGCTGGGACCTTCTTTCAATTTCAGGGCAAGATTCATGGAAATTCATAACTTTCTAATTATGAAGATAATGATCTTTTTTTTATGAGAAAGAAAGTTGTGGCCATCGAATCTCTATCATGAAGATTTTTAAATGTAAATGTTTCATGGTTCAGGATGATCTTGAAACTTATTCTTTTTTCTCATCAAAGAACCAATCAGTGGCCTCATGTTCTCTCCAATCCAATTGCTGCCAAGAGACTCGAGTGACTCTGGGCTGGGTTTTCAAGGGTGATGGCGGTATATTCATTCTTGTCTTAAATGGTGAGAATCTCCTCTGCCACCCGTACATTCATTAGCCATTTCTCTTGGCATGCACAGAGTTGGAACTCACTTTCAAAGACAACTGTTAAATGGTCCTCCAGATTATGACTTCCCTCCCTCTCTCTCTCTCTCTTAACACACAAATAGCTTAGCAAAAACTACATTAGAGAGGGTTTTTGTTGGATGATGCAACCATGGATCTAAAGGAGGGCAAGCAGGGACATGGGTCTTTGTCCTACAAAGAATTGAAAAGGAATCCCTGGAACTCAAATAAAACTCAGTTTGGTCCCTACAAGTTAGATTTTTATTTCGACTTTTGTTCTTAACAATTTTCTTATTTGATGATAAGAATGTCCCCATGTCAGCTTATACATTAATCAAGATTAACCATCTCTTTCAAAAAGGAAAGACCAGTATGAGATTCAACGAATCTTCTACGAGTAGTATCGAAGAATACAAGAAGCATCAAACAGTAACCGTGCCGTTTTTTCTTTTAAAAAGGAGGGGGTTTGAGATAGAGTTGATGCAAATATTCAAGTTGCCAACTTGAGCACAATCGAAGGGCGTGGTTTTGTTTTATTATATTAGTATATCAAAATAATTTTAAAAAATTAAATTTAAAAAAAACTTAATTTTTTTTAAAAACACGATTTAATTACCTTTTAAATATATTCACAAACAACATTACAGTGTTTTTCATAGCTTTTGTTTATACTTGATTTTGATCTTCAAAATAATATTTTGAATAAAACAAGATGCAATTTTGTCAATACATTGATGTGTAGCCTTTGCACTTCCTACCTTTTCTAAAAGAAATTATTTAGTAGTAGGAGCTAATAACTATAAATTAAAGCATTGTCGTATAATGACATATGGAGCTTTTTCAAAAAGAAATTGTTCGAAATCAATATTGAGTTTTTCAAGTTCTTGTCTCGAGAAAGAAGAATCGACAATAAAAAAAGAAAAAGAGACTACACCGAAATTTTAATGCATTGTTTTCTCATAAAGACTAGACACAGTCTCCTAAAAAAGACAGCATAATTAAGCCTAATTCTAAACCTAATTTTCTTAGGAAGTAAATCCAAACCAAGTCTTCCGCTTCTTGACCTCTATGCTGCCAAGGATTACCCCACTAACTACATAGTATTTAGCATAGTTTTAAAACTCGATCTGACTCGGCGGGTTGACCTGGGATCCGGTTGATCTGGGGCTGGAATTGGGCCGAGTTGATGAAAAAATAAGATAAACCATGATCCGGCGTGACCTGACGAATTGACCGGAAACCCGGACGACCCGGAAAAACCCGGTGGTAACCAGTTGACTTTTATTTATTTTTTATTAAAACGATGTCGTTTTGAATTTTTTTAAAAAAAAAAATTGATCCAGCCGACCCGTTCGACCTGATCAAAACCCAGAACCCGGGTCTTAGACCGGGCCAGCCACAAGGCTGGGTTTAAAAACTATGTTATTTAGGAAGAGATTAGCCCCCCCCCCCCCCCCAGCCACAAGGCTGGGTTTAAAAACTATGTTATTTAGGAAGAGATTATTAAAGCGCAATTAGCACCTTTTCTTTTTTCTTTTTAAAGCAATAACACTCTCGGCGTGAGGTCCCCGCACCAAAAAAAAAAAAAACACAAGTACTTTCGTGCCCTCCTACGAGTTAAAGTCTTCCAAAACCTATAGAATCTAACCACCCCGCACCAAAAAAAAAAAAAAACACAAGTACTTTCGTGCCCTCCTACGAGTTAAAGTCTTCCAAAACCTATAGAATCTAACCAGAGCTACTTTCAAAACTTCCCAGCCTTCCTACGCTTTCTCCCTCACAGCCTCTCTCGCTCTCTCTCTCGCACACAAACGCATACACGAACACCCAGTATTCTTTTTCTCCAGCTCCATCTATGGCATCCACCGCCGCCGCCACCACTAGTTTCTCTGCTCTTTCAAAGCATTCTCTTTCTTTAAACACTAACCCTCAAGTTCCCCAGAAGGCCCCTCCTTTTCTCCTCCCCGAAACCCTTCAAAAACCCTACCCTTCTCACGCTACCCACAAAACCCACATCACTCTTGCCTCTAAAAATCCAATCTCTGACCTTGTTTCCACAGACAACTCTTTCCTCTAAAAATCCAATCTCTGACCTTGTTTCCACAGACAAAAAGAGCTCGGATGATTTTTCTTCTTATTTTGACGACGACGACGACGACAAGCCTCGTGAAGAGTGCGGTGTTGTGGGTATCTATGGTGACCCAGAAGCTTCACGTCTTTGCTACTTGGCCCTTCATTCTTTGCAACATAGAGGTCAAGAAGGAGCTGGTATTGTTACTGTTAATGACAATAAGGTTTTGCAATCTGTTACTGGTGTTGGTTTAGTCTCTGAAGTGTTTAATGAGTCAAAACTTGACCAATTACCCGGTGATTTAGCTATTGGTCATGTTAGATATTCAACTGCTGGGTCTTCGATGCTTAAAAACGTGCAGCCTTTTGTTGCCGGTTATAGGTTTGGCTCTGTCGGGGTTGCCCATAATGGGAATTTAGTGAATTATAGGAAATTGAGGGCTATCCTTGAAGAAAATGGTTCGATTTTTAATACTAGCTCTGATACTGAAGTTGTTTTGCATTTGATTGCTACATCAAAAACTAGACCTTTCTTTTTGAGGATTGTTGATGCATGCGAGAAGCTTGAAGGGGCTTATTCTATGGTATTTCTTACCGAGGATAAGTTGGTTGCTGTGAGGGACCCTTTTGGTTTTAGGCCTCTGGTGATGGGAAGGAGGAGTAACGGTGCTGTTGTGTTTGCTTCTGAGACATGTGCTCTTGATTTGATTGAGGCCACATATGAGAGAGAGGTTTATCCTGGTGAAGTTTTAGTGGTGGATAAAGACGGGGTTCAATCACTTTGCCTGATGCCCCACCCTGAACCGAAACAGTGCATATTTGAGCATATTTATTTTTCTCTGCCTAATTCAATAGTATTTGGCAGGTCTGTTTATGAGTCAAGGCATGTTTTCGGGGAAATACTTGCTACTGAGGCTCCTGTTGATTGCGATGTGGTGATTGCGGTGCCAGACTCTGGGGTGGTGGCTGCACTTGGTTATGCATCGAAAGCAGGTGTCCCTTTTCAGCAAGGGTTGATAAGGTCGCATTATGTTGGAAGGACTTTCATTGAGCCATCGCAGAAGATTAGGGACTTCGGTGTTAAGCTTAAGCTGTCTCCAGTGAGGAGAGTCTTGGAGGGGAAGAGAGTTGTGGTTGTGGATGATTCGATTGTGAGAGGAACTACCTCATCAAAAATTGTTAGGTTGCTTAAGGAGGCTGGGGCTAAGGAGATCCACATGAGGATTGCTAGTCCACCAATTATAGCTTCTTGCTACTATGGAGTAGATACACCAAGTTCTGAGGAGTTAATATCTAATAGAATGAGCGTGGAGGAGATAAGGGAGTTCATTGGATGTGATTCGCTTGCATTTCTACCATTGGATAGCTTGAAAAAATTGTTGGCTGAGGAGTCTCCGAATTTTTGTTATGCTTGCTTCTCTGGGAAGTACCCTGTCCAGCCAAAGGAAGTTATGGTGAAAAGGGTCGGTGATTTTGTGGATGATGGATTGAATGGAAGTCCAGAGTCCATTGATGGGGGCTGGGTGCAAGCACCCCTGAATCAGGATGTGAAGAAAGTCAGTGAAGCCGGGAAGTTGTCTTCTTTGACATGATATATGTTGTTTGCAACACCTCAAACTTACCGAACTGATGGATTTTGGGTCAAGACAGCAGGATTAATGGTTATTTACTTTGTGATATGGCCAGGTGGTAGATGATTTTAATAATGATCTCGATACACTCTTTGTGTGCTGGCTTGGATTAATTAAGGTTACAAATCTATAAGTTACACAATTTTGTTTGGTCTTTTAAATTTTGCAAGATTTAAAACTAGAAGTGCGTGGTTTAATTTTTTACTCATTGCTGTGTCGGCATTAACATGACATCTGTATACACAGGGATAGGTGTTCCATCAAAGTTTCAACTGTGAGATTTTTTGAATCTCTAGTGCCTTGTTTCCTTTTCTTTTTATTTAGAAACTCTCTGCATCTCACCATGCATCAGCCCCTCAAAAGGGTTTCGAAACTTGACTGGTTACAACTGCTTAGAATGGATGGAAGTGAATCGAGTCTTTTATATAATTAATGATGCTGAATGGTATCCTGCTTCTGCATGTGGCATTAATTTCCAACGAAGAGCCTGAAATAACCTGTCCTTTTTCTTGCTTCTTACAATAGTAAGAACATTGGCCTTGTCGCGGCTGCCCAATTTCTCTCGCTTTTTTTCAGCCTGGACTGAACTGTTATGTTCATAGAAACAAATGCTCACTAAGGGCTAGTTTGATAGTGTTGACATGTTAACGCCATTAATGAACTGACCGGAACTGCTTTGTGGTCCGATGAAACATGGATGGTATCAAAATCAGGTTACTGGTTAATGGTTTGACACGCCCACCAGATCAACTCTCGTGGAACTCTGCCAGTGTGTATGTTCTGGTATTAAGGTTGGTGATACCTCTTCATGGCTTTGCTTTTGGCGTGTACCAGTGTCTAATTCTAGCAGCTTCTTGTTATCTTGATAGCCAAATGTCAGTCATGCTCTCAAGTTCTTCTGAACTGCTTACCAAGCCAGCCTCGCAGATCCATCCCAGTTGTACCAAGTCTTCTTCAAGAGACTAAACTTGAAATCGAAACCTTGTCAAGAGGATCGACTTCGTAAGGTAGGCCATTAGTCTCAGGGCAAATCAATCGGAAAAAGGCAAGCTATAGGAGCTTTGTAACAACATTAAACTTCCTCATTTATTGTGTCGGGTAACTTTAACAAAATTTTCAATTCATGTCTCATCCTTCCCTAAAATCATATGCCTTTCATTTATTTCCAAAGTACAATGTTTCAAACATTTTAGAAAACCAAAATGGTACAAAATGTTTTCAAACATTTATTTTCAAATATTACTGTTTGAAAGTATAGTTATAATTATTTTTAAAATAATTTTCATTCATAAAAATATATTAATAATATTTTTTTAATTTTTTAAAATTATTTTTAACATCAGTATATTAAAATAATTTAAAAATATTAAAAATATATTAATTCAAAATAAAAAAAATTAAATTTTTTGAAAGTACTTTTTGAACGGACGGTCCAAACAGCCACTAAAAGCATTGGCAACGTTAAAAAATACAGCTCAAAAATACATGCTTTCGTTGCTACAAGAGACAAGTACCAAAGAGCCCTTGCGAATGTAAAAGGCACCAGCATAAAATTCTAGAATCAAGGGAGTTACATATATGGAAAAAGGACTTTGCTGTCTAGTTTCCGGATGAAAATTAAGAATTGGCACGTATTAGCCATTTTCTGCTCGGTCATAGGCATTTGATTTATGCTTCGGTGCAAATGTAAAGGCATCTGGAACTTTGCCAAGCAACATTTCAGAGATACGCACCTGTATATAAATTGGAGAGAGTTAACACAACTGTAGTGTTTAGCAGCTTATATAGCGGCACTAATCGTTAAGATATATTTAGAGAATTGCACATACCCAGTCAGCAGCAGAATCAGAAGCCATGAGCGTTTCAAGGTCATCACGACCATAGTATGAGGGCGGACGCCAGTTGAGCCGCTGTGGAATGACATCTAAGAGACCCACCGGCACATATCTGCATGTGTAGCTTAGCCACTCCAACAAGAAATGCCTAGTTGTCTCCACTCCTACAGATGTTGAAACAAGGAGTTACTGTTACATTGAAACCCTTTCCCAATCACCCATTCAGTATGAAATTATGTTTTTGACCAATAATGTATACCTTTTGAGTCAGAGCCCCAGTGTTCTAGGCCAGAACGCACATAATCCTTTAGAATGTTCAATCGCTCTCCAGAACTTATGTCCCAGTGCCTCTGTTCCTTGATTTCAGTAAATATCCAAGGCTGCAAAATACAGTGAATATTATTCTTAAGACTACAAAACTTTATTATGGTCTAGTAATAATTACATAAAAATGTAGAAACTAACAATTCACAGCTCCAGAGTCCCAACCTTAATTAGTGCACCTCTAGCTATCATGCATGAAGAAAGCTCAGGGCAGTCAGACTTGTGATTGTTCCAATCAACGTATGAAAAGACATCCCCATTTCCTAGAACTTGCAGAGAATCTGGGGCCTTTCTAGCACATTGGTATATGTAGTCCCAATCAGCAAGCTTGCTATAGCGTTGCTGACGTGATCGACCATGAATTGTTACAGCACTGGCACCCCATTTTCCAATATCCACAATTAATGAGTCAATACGGTTTTTTCCTTCAAAATAACCTGTCCGCACCTACATTGAGAAAATTCAGTATGAGCTATCAAAATTAAGTTTGGTCAGAGAAGCCCAAGAGTAACAAAGGCTGCAAGCTGGAAACACAAGCATAAAAGTGAAAGGTGGCATTTCCCTATGGAGAAAGTAAGCTGAACTACAAAATTGCAGACCAACATATCTGCTTCAGCATGGGGTTTGCACAGATATTTAATTATTACCTTGACAGTTATAGGCTTTTCCACTGTACCAGAAGTGGCTTCTATAATGCTTTTCATCCGCATTGGTTTTGTAAGAAGAGATGACCCAGCACCCTTGTTAACAACAATATCAATGGGGCAGCCCATATTTATATCAATGAAGTCCACTGTGCATTCCTGATCTATAAGCTCAACAGTACGTGTAACAGTATCCGGATAAGCCCCACATATTTGAACACCAAATAAATCCTCAGATGAATGACGTCTCAGCAGTGCCCATTCTGAAGCTTGACCCTATAATCAAAAGGAAATGAGGTTAAGCAATGTTCGAAGTGTTAAATCAAATTAATAGTGTATAGCATAGAGTAAAGAATCATTACTAGGCTATAGAGCATATATTTACTGACTATCATGGGAAGAAAACCACATATGATCCACAATATAACCATTTCTGACAGCGAGTAATGACAACGGAAATCTAAAACTGTACATACTTACTGAAAGTTAATGATCTTAGATCTTGCAAGGTACAAGCATTAAACATGATATAAATTGAAAAGAAGGAACCTTGTTAACAAGAAAACCAAACCAGCAAGTTGTGTAAAATGAGATAGTGATGAAGAAAACAGACCTGCAATAGATTTGTACACATTGCCATTTCACCGCAAGTAACATCAGCTCCCAAAGCTTTACAGACTCTTCGAAAAGGAAGATTTCCAACAGTGGTCAAAGGAGCAAGGTACAACTTTCCTCTGAAGTCGATAAGCTTTTTTTCACGTGGGTGTAATTTTAAACTTCCATCAGTTTCTACACTATCAGCTATGACTTCTAGTTTATCAGCTACAAGTTCTGGTTCAGTTTCTAGAGGGCAGTTATTCTCAATATCTTTCTCCGGGATACCCAATCCTGTTGCAAAACATATTCAATGTGAGATACATATAGTTCCAAAAAATGCACCAATTTGGAACAAAAGTTTAAGACAACAACCATTGAATTCTTCGCCAGAGCAACCATTTACTTCAGCAGCTGATTTTGCTTTCTTCTGGGGCCTAACTTCATCAGTTACTACTCCATCCACATCACCACCACCAAGCACTTCTGCAGCGCAATCTAATTTACCTTTACCAGCTGACTCATTGCCCCCATCACCACAGCCATTCTCATTAGTGCCATGAGAGTCATTATCATCAACAACTTTCTCAACTTCCTCCTCGTCCACTTTTTTTACTTTCGACTTACCCGGTCCCTTGGTAACAAATCAACAAAAATCAGCTACATTAAAAAAAAAATTCACAAATTCAACAGCACTGCCGGTGTTTTATTCATTACCGTAAGCCCAAGAGACTTGAGTACAGAATCCGCCTTCAGAAACTTCATTTTATTCTTCCACAAAAGCTTTTGAACATCCTTATTCAACCCATTAATCTCCGAAATTTGCTTTTTACCATTTCTAACACCATCATGACCCTTATGAGTTCCGTAAAATCTACAAGCTAATCCATAAGGACAGCACGACCCTTCCCCGTTTACGAACGGACACTCTCCCTCTAAATCCTCCGGTTTCTACACAACAGCATTTGCTCAATCAAAGTAGCATTAATGAAAAAAAAATCGGCAAATCAGTGATTTGATTAATTAATTAATTACCTGAGCCTTGAATGCTTCTAAGTCATGATTGAACCGGCAGTTATTTTTATACGGACAAGAATTAACATCTCCGGTTTTAGCTAATTCAGGGCAGAGATTCACTGAGGATTTCTTTTCCTGTCATAAGATTTATTTAAAAAAACAATAAATAAATAAATATCACAACCAAATAAAAATGTAAGAAATGGAAAATCAGAACCTGCTGACGTTCACGTTTGAGTTGTCGTTTGGACTTCTTCTCCTTGGCCACTACACTGGTAGTGTTAGTGTTATTAGATTTTGAGATATCATTATTAGAATCGGAAACGGCGGATGACGTGGTATCGTTTTGGGAGGCGCGAGAAGGTGGAGGACGGAGGAATTGTGGTTTCACTGGAGCTATGGATTTGGCGATGAGTTGTTCTGGTGTTGCTGTTGGTTGTTGCTGGTCCTGAGTTGGATTCCAGTTTTGGGAGGTAAGTCCCGCCGGTGACTCGACCATTGGGGACAGTTTGAATCAGCGTTGAGTTAACTAGGAGGCTACAGGCAGCCTTGGTTTTGTTTCTGTTCAGTTAGTGCATGGGTTTTTGATGATGGAGTGAATGGTGGAGCATGGAGGATGGGTTCGTAGGGTTTTGATCATGGGGCACCTAAAACGGCGGATAAGCATGTCGTTTAACCTGCCACAGCTTCTTTTTTTTTCCCCTCTCCATTAATATAGTAACAGCTAGACTAAAAACATTTATGTGTTGGTACGTAAAAATTGGTTTCGTAATATTGTAAGGCGTGTCTCCATTGTAGTATTGTACAGTGATGGCAACCCTAAGATTTTACGAACGTTTTATTTTATTCGTTAAAGTTTCTTTAAAAAAAAATACTTGATGGCATAAACAGATTTCCAGTTAGGTATGGATTTTATTAAGTAGCGAAAATGTTGGGTCCCTCTCGTTGAAGAGAGGCTTTAAGATCAAATTAATCCTTCCATTAATGAGACTGGGTCCTTGCGGCTCAAAAGATTTCAGAGATACAAAGAAAAAATTATAATTACATAAACGTAAAAAGAGGAAGCAAATGCTACTCGATTGATTCAATTTTTAAATTTTCTATCTGTCTCTGACGCTTAAGATTATACTATCATTGGTATTACTAAAATTATTGGTTGCAAGGAGGCGGCAGCAATTTTTTCTGCATGCATTCAAGATTCAACCAAAAGGTGCAGGGCGAAGCAGAAGAGGCCACAAACATAGGATATTCAAGCTACTGAGCATGCAAGCACAGGCATAGAAACAGCGAGAGAAGAAATGGAAAGAACACAGAAGCAAGATTAGCACCGAAGCAGGTTCAATGTTGATTTTTGTTATGTCCAGGTAATGTTAAAAGATTTTGTTCTATTCTCAGTTAATCTCTTGGTTGTGTTAGTAACTTTGATGGTGTAATACTTGATTGTTTACGAGGATCTTGAACTTCCCTTCTACAAAATTTACACCAGATGGCACTCTGTTCTCTGACAGAAGTCAGAACAAGAAACATGACATAGCAAATAGATAGAAAAGCACACGCAACTACAACGAGAATCAACCATTCTTTACTGAAATAAACAAAGAAAGAGTTTTCTTCAAAACGTCTTAACAAGCATATTATGCCTAAGAAATGTTTCCCCTTAGGAAATAAATACCTAACAGATACAAATAACATTCATAATCATAAGTAACACATATATTGAGGCTTGTATGTATATATCACTTTAAACGAAATTCCGAGCAGGATATGCGATGCAGGTTGAATTTGTAACTGCCACACCTTAAAGACGTCTCTTGGGAGATGGAAAACTAATGAATGAATGCATTGAAAGAAACAAATGTAAAGCACCAGAAGTTGGTAAGACGATTAATAACCCAAGCAGCCATCGTTTTCTCCCCAACCTATTGATTCGAATCTGACTTTAAGGTAGTACTGCCGTTTTGTTGAGGCTGTTGCTGGGAGGACTGCGGCTGCTGTTGCAACTGATGCATGTTGATTTGGGACGCTGATGACTGCTGCAATTGACGCCTGTTAAGTTGAGAAGGACGTGGCTGCTGCAGGAACATCTGAGGGTTGACAGAAAGCTGCTGCTGAACCAGGCCCTTGGATGGGTCAGAATCCCCACCCCGCTCTGCTGTAGCAATCTTCAACCGTCGTACTTCACCGTTTAATGCTTCGTTTAGAGCTGTTAAAATTGAACAGGATTACCAATAAATCTACCAAATATGCTGAAGCTGAATGTCAAAGAACGAGTAGATAACGCATGTGGTACAGATGTGCTTCAAAGAACAGGGGAATGAGCTTGCACGAACTGCTCCTAGCAATGCAATTCTTTCAACAAGTTTCGCTCAATAATTAGGGAAGTTAATATCACACACCAACAGATAAACGTTCAAAGCAAGTGATTGTTCACCTAACTAGATGGACATGAGTTAACAATAGAAATGTCTTTGGCAGCATGGCCACACAAGCAGGAGAGCTAACCGCTATGGATAAAAGTTACATGCCATAAGGCCTCATTCTGGATATGAAAGTTCCACAGACAATAAAGAACAGGAAACCACCACCACCCCTAACTCTACCAGCACAAACTACGCATGGTGCATTCACAAAACAGGTTCTGACCCTATTTTTGTGCCAACGAAACCTATAAATGCAAGTGAGAAAAAAATGCAAAGAAACCCAGGTGGGAGAATCCATACCATCTCGGAGTTGTGCTTGTTGCTCCATGGCTTGAAGGCGAAATTTCAATTCATTATTCTGGTTTGTAAGACCAACAGAATCCCTCTGGAGAGAACACAATACCGGAAAAAAATTTTAACAGAGACTACTAAAATAAATGGAAACAAATTTCAAAACTCTAAATCACTACCTGTAAAAGAGTAAGTTGAGCAGACAATGTGGTAGCTTCTGTCTGCAAAGTCTGAACCTTGTGTTCCAGTTCTGAAATATATCTCATCTTCCTCTCCTTAGAACGAGCAGCTGATTGCCGATTCGCCAAAATCCTGATATCAAATGAAGAAATGAAACATCGGCGCCAGGCTAATAATATATTGAGAAAAACCAGAAGCAATTATTGATGAATATTGAAATAGAAGAGAAACTAGAAAAAACAAAAGATTTAACGTGGTTCGACAAAGTGCCTGAGCAAGGAGCTTTTATTTTCACAAGACGAGTAGGGTTACATGGTTTAGATCTTAAACCACATAATAGCCTAACCGCCCAAGAATCCAACCGCCTACGAAATATTAGGAAATTTTAATAATACCATCGCTCAGTAAGCTCCACTTTGGCATCTGCCTATGATGCCACAAACTACAACATAACATGAATATCTGCCTATGATGCCACAAACTACAACAGGTTATTGATCAAATGGGATAACAGGTTACCTCTTTGCACGTTTTGGGTCAGTTGAAGCAATCTCAGCAAGTTTCTCATTAGCCATAATTTTCTTCAGTTCAGCACCACTAAATTCACCATTCCCAAACTCCAAGCTAAAGGCATTGCCATCCATTGAATTTGTGGGTGAACGTTGACCTGGACGAGTTCCTGGTGAAGGTGGCAATTTTGGAGACTCATCACCAAAGTTCAATTTGCCCATGAAACTATCCATTGACACACTTCTGTAGTGCCTGGACGTAGGAGCAATATCACCTCCAGCACTCCTTTTGATCCCCTCCCTCTTCTCTGTTGAAGAACTAAATCCTCCTCTTGGCACGCTGCCACCACTTTCATTAACGCTGCTTTCTGCCTCATTATCACTGCTATCACCACCATTTGTCTTAGTTCCACTAGCTCTACTATCCAAATCCTCACGATTCTCGTTACCATTCTTCTCATCAGTACCCGAAGAGTTCAACGCATCAATGTTATCTAAATTCATATAAGCAGAAAACAAATCATCCACATCCCCTTCAGATTTCCTCTCACCCGTCCCCTCCGCAATGCTTTCACCACCTCTCTCCCATTCTTTTTTAACCAACTGAGCTGGCTTAGCCATCGCTGGATTCTCTCTACCGGACAACGACCGCTCCAAGCCACCTGAACCCCTCGACGGAATAAGGGGAGGTGAACATTGCAACACATTACCAAATGGAATATCACTGTTAGACCTTCTATGGGCTTTCCGTGGAGGTAAACTCTCACCAACACGTGGAGCATTGCCCCTATTAAAAGGGGAAGGTGGCAACAACGAATGAGAGCTACCATCCTTATCCTCCATGGACACATCAGTTGAAATAGGGTCCGAAACCGTTGGCGAAGAGGAGTCACGAAAAGGGGCCGGACTCAACGGTGGCAAGGAATCAAGGCAGAAAAACGATGATGGCTGCGATAAAGATCGCGAATGGGTAGGTCCCATACTGAGATTCTGGTTACTCATTTGCTGGTTTGCTGGCCTAGACACCGGGATCTGGGAATACGGCGAAATGGGTGGGATCTGATTAGGATGTGAAGGCGGAATCCCTACTCTTTTGTTACTATCACCACTAAAATTCTGATAAAAATTCGCAAAATGCCTTGCCCGCAACTGGGTTTGGTTCAAATTCAATTGAGAAACATCTAATTGGTTTATCAAAGAAAAGGGTTGTTTAGACATTGTAGCAGATGATGATTGTGTTGTTCCAAAAGAAGACTGCAACCTGTGTATCATTTCACTATTAGCATCCTCCGTATCACCCATTTCACTTACCTCTAGACCAGCAAAAACCCAGTAATCAATATTTCACTAATGCCACTTCAAAACCCTTAATACTTTTGATCAGACTTAAACACCACTTTCAAGATAAACCCACTTCACTCCTCACCAAAACTCGATCAAATAACAATGAAAACCAATCAATCAAACAAACAAAGCCTTGAAAACCTGCAAAATGAACATCCAAAAACAAGAATAAAAACCCACAACACAAAAAAAAAAAACTGAAATAAAAAGATTGAAAGTGGACACAGGATTCTCACTTAAATAAGTAAAAAGACTAGACTACCTTGTTAACTCAAAAGGTTCATTTCCACACAAAAAAAAAATGACACCAACCGGCGAGACTGCTGAAAACATATAAATCACAAGATAAAATTTTTTCACAGATTTTTTTCACTTTGTTTTTCAAGGCGGAAATGGCGAAGAAAATAAGTAAAGCTTAGGGCTAGGTGTGTGTCTCTCTAGAATTTGTTCTCTCTCTCTCTCTCGGAGAAATGAAAAGGCCGTGCGTGATTTCAGTGAGGTTTTTTGTTTTTTATTTTTTTATTTTTTATGATGACGAAGACTACGACACGGATTTTATGACGGTAGAGGGAGACGCGTGAAGTTAATGAAGAATTTGTGGTGAATTTGAATTGGGTGTGAATTTGAATTTCATTCCGACCTCGGTTTTTGACATCTTTGTTCCCTTTGTCACCGCAACTTATTGAGCAAGAATTTCGATCTTTTGGATTTATTTTGCCAGTTTTGGGATTTCTTCCTTCCACGCGCTTGCCACTACAGTCTAATGCACGTTAGGTTCAATTTTTATTTTTCTCCTTTATTTGTCCATCCACGCGCTTGCCATTACAGTCTAGTGCACGCTAGGTTCAATTTTTATTTTTCTACTTTATTTGTCCATGGTGGGTTTTTTCTTATCATTCTCTTAGGAAATTAGTGTATTAAGAAAGAATTATCTTTTATAAAACAAAAAAGGATAATTTTT